GAAATCATTGTTGCACTACATGCTAACTAATTTGGATGCAAATTCAAAAAAAGAAAAGAAGACGCAAATCCCATGTATACTCATAAATATTTGGATTCTGAGTCATGGAAACAATGGGTAAGATATTACATGCCAAAAATGTTATTTTTAAAATTCATTCTCAGGGTGCCTGGGTGGCTCAGTCGGTTAAGCATCTAACTTTGGCTCGGGCCATGATCTTATGGTGTGTGGGTTCGAGCCCCGCATCAGGTTCTGTGCTGACAGCTCAGAGTCTAGAGCCTGCTTCGGATTCTGTGTCTCCCTCTCTCTGCCCCTCCCCAACTTGTGTGCACCCCCCTACTCTCTCCCTTTCTCTCTCAAAAATAAACTTTAAAAAAATAATAAAATAAAATTCATTCAAAATATGTATTTGGTCCTCCCATGTGCGAGGTCCATTCAAGGTGATGGCAATATGGTGACAGAGACATAGGAGGTCCCTGTTCTCTCAGAGGGTACATTCTGGCATGAGATGGTTCAGATAAAATATGACAAATAACCACCAAAAAATAATAAAATATAGTAAAAAGGGCTATGCAGGTAATTAAAAGAGGTGATGTGTTAGCTACGTTAGAGGATGACTGATCGGACTTCAGGAAAGTCTCAGCTGATGAGATCTGAATGAAAAGGAGCCAACACTGAGACTACTAAGGAGAAGGCATTTCAGGCAGAGGAAATCCGAGTACAGGGTCCTCAGGCAGGGATATGCTTGGTATATTTGAGTCATAGAAAGAAAACTGACATGGCGGGATCTTGATGGGCAAGGGCCAGCATGACTTGAGTTGAAGTAAGAAAGTTAAGTCGGGTGGGTGCATCAAGTCTTATAAATCAGCAAGTGCTTTAAAACCAGAGAAAAGAGGGTGTAGGGGAGGAGAGTGCAAAGATGCAAAAGCCGTTTATGAGAACAAGATCTCCAAAAAGCACTCTTTTCCTGAAAGGAGTTGAAGAAGAGTTCACAGTGTATCCAGATCTCCCACTGGCACCCAGGGAAAGAGTGGAGCAGGCATATGATACGATGTGATGTGGTCCGGAGACCAGGACCTGGACCAGAGTCCATCTGTGGAGTTTCCAGAAAGACAATGGCAAGTCTTTTATTAATCAACTCAAATGATTTTTAGTAAAGATAGCTTGCTTTGGGGGAGGGGCAAACCTTACTAGAGCCAAGAGTATTCTTTTTCTTCTTCCTCTCTGTTTCTACTTGTCACCATTTACTTTTCTCCCTCCTCTTTCGGTCCTATCCACTCTCAATAAGGTCATTTGTTTTTACTTCCTATAATTATTAGTGCCTAGCTCTTACTAACCTCATTTACATTCTAATTGTTTAGATGATACAGTTTTCATTTTACTTTCAAATGCCTCTGCTCTGTCC